TAAAGAAAGGTAATAGGTCTTTACATCTGAATAAATTATTAATTCTGACGTTTATTTAACTATTATTTGTAGTTGAACGAGTGGATAACAAGTTTATTTTTTTTAATTTGTGGCTTTAGTATAAAACTCTGTTTACCTATGATAAACGACTGACTAGTCTTAAAATGTATTTCACAACAAAACGTGGTTTCTTTGGAGTTCAATTTTGTTAAGAAGACATTTGCAGGTTAGGGTTTGGATAGAATGCAAGAGAGTCTTTGTCATCTATATAAATATAATAATAATACTTTCTCTTGTCTGTTATTTGTCCATGTAACTACTTCGAAGGGTTTAAATGGATTTTCACCCAAGTTACTGTGAAGGTTCATTAGATCCATGACGGGGTACTAACAAATTTTCAGTTATGCATTTTGCGTTTTGCGGTTTTTATGGGCGTTGTTTATCACTACTTCGCCCTCTGTTGATGGATCTTCATCAAATTTGGCATGACGGTTTGTTGGGTCCGTGCGGAGATACATACAAATTTGTGCTTTCACATTTTGTGTTTTGCAGTTTTTATGGGCGTTTTTGCGTGTGTGTGTTTTTTTGCAATTATATATAAGGGAAGCAACTTTTCATGTCCTAAGATAACCTTTGATTAATCATGAAGTTACATAACTTCCATCCAAGGGGACGGGTACGCCAACTGGTATTATAATATTCTGTACAACGGTTATTTCCATATGAAGAGAGAGGTACTCAGAACAAATGTTATATGGTCTAATGAGAAGACTGAATTTAGAGTTAAGCTAAATGTGGTCTAATGAGAAGACTGAATTTAGAGTTAAGCTAAATGTGGTCTAATGAGAAGACTGAATTTAGAGTTAAGCTAAATGTAGTCTAATGAGAAGACAGAATTTAGAGTTAAGCTAAATGTAGTCTAATGAGAAGACAGAATTTAGAGTTAAGCTAAATGTGATCTAATGAGAAGACAGAATTTAGAGTTAAGCTAAATGTGATCTAATGAGAAGACTGAATTTAAACTTAAGTTTAAATGAGTCTGAAATAAAACTGTCGAAACGAGTAAGCCTGTATAGGTTTTTGTTTTGTACGATGAAAGTATATTGTAAACTGCTTATATTTAACATCAGTGATGTGTTTTTTAGCGAACACTATACAAATGATCTAGTTAATAGCCTAAAATGTTGCTTACCTCCCCCTGAACATAAATTCTCTGATTACTTGTTCCCCTTTGAATGCACATATGAAACCTTGAAATTGTAAACCTTTTTTCAAAAAAAACTGCCCCAGAACTTTGCAAAAACCGTGTTCAAAAACCTCATTCTACAGTTACAATTGCCAATATACTGTGACCAATATACTGCCTTAAAAGAACTAACAAACAATGGAAATATCGTTGTCACCTGATCTAATAAAGTTACAAGTATTTTGTCCTTAATAAATAAGATTTATTTTAAATTATAAATTTAAACTTCAAAGAAACCATATAGTGTAGACAATTAAGCTGTTTCATCGTTCACCTTGTATTTCAATCATTTCAGAAAAAGTTTAAATCCTATAAATTTAAAACTCTTTATATGTTATATTTTACATTGTTAGAAATAAGTCACTGAAGATGGAATATGTAATATTCCGAAACGTTCAATTATTAAATGTCTGTTGCGTTTGACAAGTGTCAAATGTTCGTTGCTCTTGTCGCTGTACTTTTATTTATCATTACACTCTGATTACTGGGTAATGAATCTTCTGCTAAACAATTTTACTGACTAGTTATAACAAAACTGTTTTCTGTAAAAATGAGAGTTATATATTATTCTATTACAGTTAGAAAATAAAAAGGTACTTTAACTGTTGAAATAATAAACTTTTGTTTAACTATTTGAAAAACATTATATATATATATATATATAAGATATTTTAAGAACATTATATATGTATTTAATGTTTGTTTGTTGAATTTTCGTGCAAAGCCACTCGAGAGTTGTTTGTGCTAGCCGTCTCTAATTTAGAAGTGATAGACTAAAAGGAAGGCAGCAAGTCAACGGCAACCGCTGCCAACTTTTGGCCTATTCTAGTCGAAGAATAGGATTGACCATCACATTCTTACGCCCCTACGGCTAAAAGGGTGAGGATGTTTAGTGATAGGAATCAAACCCGCGACTCGCAGATTGCGATCCGAGCGCCCTAACCACCAGACTTTGCCAGCAACATCTCTAAAGTAAACACAAACAAGTTTCATCATCCATAGAGAAAATGTGATCTCTTTCTCTAATAAACATTATTAAGATCATCTATGAGTTTGTTCTTTGTTTTTATTTCTAATCTATGATACAAGTACTTAACACGAGAAGTGATACTTAATCTAAGGTTGATTTACAGAACAAATAATAATGTTGAAGTTAATTGCTTTAATCAAACATTTCCTTAAGAACAAATTTCCAATGAAGTCGTCTTAAGTTTTTAACAAAATATCAGGCTTAAAATTCAGAGTAGTTTTTTTTTTCAGCAGTTATGTCTGTTGCACTTTACGTTGTTTTAAAACTCTTAACATTTTTATTATCACTAATGTTTTAATGTGCGTAGAATTAAATATCATATTGGTGATTTGGGAGTTGAATCTTACCTTTGGAATGTTGTTATTCCTTAACCTTTTCTTTGTCGTTTTAATGTATATTTAAAAATATTCTGAGAGGCAAATAAACCTCACACGTGTAAGTATTGTGCGTAAAGGGCACTTTGCTCTAAGGTTGTGTCCATTTTATTTTGCCAATCGCAAACAAGTGGTGTGATTATCGTCTAACTTATATATATATATATATATACGTTCATGCTGGAGAACTCCGGTCCGTTTCAGTTAATAAATGCCAGATAGAAGTAGTTGTGTTAAAACCTCCTACAGTTTCTGTAGTCTACAATGAATAGAGTTAATTTGGAATAATATGCTATTACGTTTCAACATTTTGTTTATTACAATAAAAACTTTCAGATTTGGTTTTTATATAATGTTCTTGTTAAACATAAAATGAGATGCATGAAGTGCTAAGATACATTCAAGGATTATCTAAAAATAAGGACACTTTTATGTTGACTATATGTTATCCTTTTCTCTTTTTTTTAAGCCAAGTTACTAACACTTGAACACGGGCTTATTTTAACATTGATGTTGGTTTGCTTGTTTTAGAGCAAAGCCACATCGAACTATCTCCTATGAAAGTTGAATAACAATACTTAGTTTTGAGTGCCTTGAAATCATGTCTTCCAATGGGACAGCGTTAAGTTTACGGAATTACAACATTAAAATCCGGGGTTCGATTCCCCGCCTTGAACACAGCAAATAGCTCAGTGTGACTTTGCTCTAAGACAGACAAACAAACAAATTTCAGATCATGAATTTAATGAATTATAAATAATAATTACAAAATCCTAACTCCAAATATCAATAATAGCAATCAAAAAAACTTGTAGTTTATAAAAGTGAGTTAGCGGTAAGTTTGCGGACTTGCACTCAAAAATCTGGAGGTTTAATTCCCTGTGATGAACAGATTACAGATAGTCTATTGTGCATTTTCTTTAAAAAAAACAAGCAAGTAAACAAATACTTGTAACACTTTATCAATTTTGTTCAGGGGCGCTTCTGGCTTTTTTAAATAGTGCATCTAAAAAAACCCTTACAGATAAAAGCGCGATTCATATTCAGCAATATCACCCCTAAAATCACGGACTCTTTGTCGGCAGCCTCCACACACTATTAAGACAGAACTGGTCCAGTTACTTAATGATTCGTGAACCCTAATTCAAGAAGTTTAGTAGAAAACTTCCATACAGGTTTTAAAAATACTTTAAAGAAATTTGCAAATAAATAACTTGGAGAAGTGCAGTATCTGTGAAATTGTGAAATTCATTTTAGTATTCCTTTGTTTTTGTATTCTGTTAATCAAATACTTGTATGTGACATAGTTTAATTTACACATTAATATAAAATTTTATATGAATATATATATATGATATCATTTTGTACGCCTCTGGTATGTTTTAAGTCAATTTCCAAACTTCTTTAAGAAAAAAAGAGACAATTCTTGCATTGCATTATTGTTATTTGGAAGCTTAGTAATGACTCTTCCACGTGGCACGTATATTCCATTACTGGTTGAGAATTCAGTAATAACTCATCCACACGGCACGTATAATACATTTTTTAACTACTTTATACAGCGAAATTATTATATTTGTTATTTTAGGCTGTACTTCTAACGAAGCCACTAAGCGAGTTTTTGGGCAATAAAATAAGTATTACTCAATTACGACAAGGTTGATTTTTTTTATTTTCTATAAAATATTTTTTTAACTCTTAATCTGCACTGCTTGTTAAAAAAATCAAGTAACTCATCTTCGTGTTTTTTATTAAACCTGGAAGTATTATTAGCGTAAGACACTATTTATTGCTTCGTGCTAATGTAATTTTCAATAAATTTTATTGTTATAAGTTTTGTTTTGTTTGTAATTAAGCACAAAACTGCACAATGGGCTATTTGCCCACCACGAGTATCGAAATCCGGTTTCAGTTGTAAGTTGAGCTTTTCTTTAATACAGTCCTAGTTTTCCCATGAAGAGGGGAGCAGTAAATTAAAAGTGTGCTTTCTGAACCAATAGTTGAGTATATTTAACCAAATTAAAAACAAACTATAAAACATAGACAATTTATGCTAAACCAGTTTGAGATTTATGTCGGTAATAGATTATAATGCCTGGATAACTGTGTGTTTTGACACAAAGTACTTAAATATTTAATACTTTATGGGAAAATATTGATATTATAGCGGTATGACGCTAACATCGCTCTACAGAATTTACAATTTCAGCTAATTAAGCTAAGTTTGGTTTCAAATATTCCACTCGATTAAATTCACAAAATAAAAATCGTTAAATTGAAGTAATTTTAATAATTATTTTTACTGTAATTCCTGTAATTCCTCTTATTTCAGTCCGACTCTGTTTTTCAGTGATCGTGATGTGCGCCTCTCCCGATACCGTTAGAGAGATCTTATTAGCAGCGGAACAGCTAAATATGGTGGACAGCGGCGAGTACGTCTTCTTCAGCATAGAACTTTTCATAAGGTAATTGTGTACATTTTAAAAGGTCGTTTATTGATATTCAAAATACGTGTTTTTATATCATGCAGATTCTAAAACACTAGATAATTTCGCTGCTGTATAGGTATAGGAAATCTGTTCCGCAATTTTTCAACATGTTTCAATTTTTCATGTTGTGAAACATTTTTTTTTTGTTTTAGTCTTAAGTTTTGTATTACATTTAAACAGCTAACAGTAGTTATGATAAATTAGTTTCAAAGCTAAGGTTTTCCAAACAAGTGGAAAAAAACGTATAGGTATCATGAACAACGATAGTGGTTCATAACATGGATCGCAAAAAATTGCACGAAACCCCAATAGTACGTTAGGGCAAAAATCACCTTAAAAAGTAAAGATTCAGTTCAAACAACATTTAAAAACCTTTACTATTGACTGTAAACATACAAAACGCGAAAAATAAATACGCATGTTAAACTTATTAGGAAAAGAAAATCCGCTCAAAACGGCCCGTTTGTAATTCTCCTTCTTATTATTATTCTCTTGCCAGCCTACAACAAAAGCGGTTTGGTATATTGCACCCAAACCTTTTGAAGAATATTAGATAAGATACAGTGAAGGTAGTAGCTTGATTTGACTTGATTCTTCGATATTTTTTAAAAACATCATAATTCTAGTGTAAACGATGTTATCATTACCCCTTGAAGCTACTTTTCTTAGAAACATCTGATGTTCCTTTAAAAATATTAAGTACGTGGTGAAATAGGAATTACCAACTAATAATAGATGAACATTAGATGACTATAACATGTAAATACTAAATGTTTTGTACACTATACAATCAGTGTCTTGAGGTTTAATTTAAAGCGATGTTTTAGACATACATGTTTTATTTGAAAAGGCTGCTTTTCTACTGGTAACTTTTTTTCACGCTTAGTCTAGGCATATATTTGCCCATTGCTATGCATTATATATAGAGAATTTAGTTACACAGAAACTATAAATGCTCACTATATTCTTAAACAAATCTCCATGACAATCTCCAGCTGCAGCTTAACATTTTACATCTCGAACTAATGCGAACAAATAGACAATAGCTACAGTAAATCATCATGAACCGTTTCAGCTAGCTACTAGCTACGTTTATTATTATTGCAATGTATAAAGTTAACTACCATATCAAGTAATCCTTTGTCCATAGTTGAGCATACAAAAGCCAGAAAACAAGATAAAACCTTCAGATAGGAATCGTAAAAGAAGTAAGGAAACAAGGCTGGAGATACTGCAGACATTATTTACTAAAACTACAAATCCCTATTTTGATTCCACAAATGTAACTCTAGGTAACAGCGTGGAGCCAAAATAGGAGCTTGTAGTTTGAGTAAATAATGTCTACAGTATCTCCAGCCTCGTTTCCTTACTTATTTTACGATCCCTATTTTCAGGTTTTTAAATTCCCAATTTTTTTATTTATCTTGTAATCTTAGGTCCCATCATATGGTTACCTGAGTGGTTCAAACCATATAAAAAAGAATAATACGTTAGAGACTTTATATTCCTTTAAAACAAAAGAATAAAACTTTTCCTCAAATAAAAACAAGGAAGTTAATAATGAGAAGGAACATTTGAATTGATGAATCTTGACATTTTAACTAGCTTGTGAGAAAAGCTAGTTTGTAATATTTGATTTTTTTCGGACTTCCTTTTAATTACTCTGTTTTTCCTGGATAATTTAACAAAATAATAAGTGTTTAAAACACAAGCGACAATTACGTTATACAAGTTGAAAAGTTTCAACTTTAACATGAAATAAAATAAATAATTAAGCATTTAATGAGATAAGAAATGTAAATAAGTTTTTTCTAGTTATTTGAAAAAGGTAAGAGTTTCTCTTGACCTTATTTTTACCTTACACAAGAAAGGAAAAACAATTAATAATAAAAAAACGAAACATAAAACTTTCTTCATAATGATATAGTTTAAGATTCAACGTATTAAATAAAAGTGAGGTATAATTTCCAGTTTACTTATATTCATGGAGTAAAAGTTTATTGTCATTGACGTAGTTGGCCAAGCGAAGCATGATTTTGCTCGAGACAGCACTTTATATTTTATTATTGATTTCTCTATTGGTTTAACGTGAGTTGATAGTTTTCTTAGTTCGCAGGAGACTTTCCCAGTCGTAATCACTCGTATGTTTTACACCATATATTAATTAACACTGTGTCGACCGATAACGATATAGATTATTTAGAAGTTATTTCTGTGCAGAACAATTTTGGAGAAAAATATAATAGTTTTATTATGAGTAGAAAATATAAAAAAATTTAAAAGTTATTACATTGATTTGTTATTTTATGTATACAATTAAGTTAAAGACAAAGCTTGGTTAAAAATACAACTGCTGAATTGAATATTTGTTACACTTAACAAAAATATATAACTTTCAAAAACAATTGGTAATATGAATTAACAGAAACATTAAACAGCTTAGAAAAAACTTGTTAACCTCAATAATTATATGTTGATATATTTAGATTCTTTATATAAACTCCAGTATTAACAATGTAAATATTTTACCATGCCTTTTTGTAGTAAACAAAAATAATACTTGATAAATTGTATTTTCTAAACTCGTCCAGTTTAACTCAGTTTAGTCAGCTGAAACAGGAGAATCAAACACTTGAATCTTTAAAACATCAGCAAATCTTGCAAACAGTAAAGTCTGTCTGTGATTTAAATGACAGTCGTATTACTGTTTTTACTCTACTTTCCTGTAGTGTAGTGATGAACTTTTTAAAACACTCACTTCAAACAAGTAGATACTGTGTGCTGAAAAACTTCAGTAGCAAAATCGTACTATGTTTTTTCTTGTCGTTTGTTGAATACCGAACAAACCTACCAGAGGGCTATCTACGCTAGCCATCCCTAATTGTGAAGTACTAGACTAGAGGGAAAGCAGCTAGTAAACACCATCCACCGTCAATTAGTGCTAATATAAGCCACTATGTCTGGCCTGTAATGACATTGTAATGTATAGATTATTATTCATATGTGTATTAATTAATGTGACCGTTTGATTTTTTTTGTTTATTTGTTGTTAAGCACAAAGCTACACAATGGGCTATCTGTGCTCTGCCCACCAGGAGTAACGAAGTGTGATTTTTTGTGTCATAAATTTGTTT